CTATTGAAATCATTAGTAAATATGATGAAGTATTGAGAACCTCCTCTGGCTGGTATGTTCAGTGGTCCACATACATCAATATGTATGAGGACCAAAAGATCATTAGCCATTTCACCTTTTCTTATGAATGGGGACTTTGTCATCTTTCCAATTAAACAAGCTCTAATGTACCATATGATTCGTAATCAAAAGAGTCTAACTGTTGCGGTGAGAATAGGATATTAAATTATTAATTAATTTGAATCGCAAATCTTTAATTCACAACCGGTCTTTAATTTATCCGAAGGAAAGGTCAAAGAAAGGAAAAACCTAATTTTTGCATCGTAAACAATGCAGGGAGAGATCTAGGTAAGGGGTTGGTTAAGCTTAGGAAAGGTATTAGCACCCTAAACTTTTGTAGTACTCTACAGGAACCTTTTGTTTAAAGTTTACTATTTTGCTTGATTATCTGCTTTAGGGTATATGTGTTAAGGGTTAAAGGTGACAGAAAGACCTAAGGGTTAGTCTTAAGTTTACTCGTCAAGATTCACATCTTGTGCCTACGTATCTGAGGTAGGGGATGGAATCAGAGTAATCGTAGTTCCCCTCAAAAGGGAGAAAGAGAAACTTCTTGACTGTGGTCAAGGTTTCAATGGGGAATAAGCATTCTTAAGGAAGCGCTTAGGTGGAGTGCGGTGACTCCTATTTCTACGTTGTAAAAGATTTAAATTAGAAAGGGTGAGATAGTTATTCCACGGAGGGAAACCTAATATGGAGTACGGCGACTCCTTATCCTTAGGCTAGGGTAAAGGGTAAAATTGTCCACGGCGAGACGCCTAAAAATATGAGTACGGCGACTCGGAGTTTCTAGGTTTGAAAGGTGAAAGAGTCATAGGTAAGGACTTGACGCGGCGGTCAAACGACTATACCTATTCCTTCGGAAGGATTTAACGGTAAATAATGTAATGAAAAATAATTAAGCGGCAGTATTGAAATATGGAAAAATGCAAGAATAATGAAATACAAGCGACAAAATAAAAGTGACGATTACCTCGCATAAATTACAACCATGAAAAATGTAAGAATAATAACAAAATAAAAGCGACGATTGCCTCGCATAAATTACAACCCAAAAAAAATGAACTGCGAAAAGTACGGGGAATTAGTAAATGTACAACGTCATAAAATTAAACGAAAGCAAACGGGGCAAGGTTACGGATCAAATCCGCAACTAGGCGACAATTTAATTCGAACTTGAAATTGAAATGCTAGACATAATTTTAAGAAAAGGTTTTAAGATTAAAGTGTGGGAATTTGTTAGAAATTTATATTTACAAAATTTTAGATTTTTATTAGCAAAAGAACTGGATTAAAAATCTCAATAATGAAAGAAAATGTTAATTTTAAAATTCAACTTTAGCCTCCTTTAAAATGTTAATTTTAAATTGTGAAGTTTTAATTTATGGTATTAAAAAAGATCTACTTTAAAAAAAATTTAAAAAAATGGTTTTGATTCTAAATACAAAAATGGTTCTATTTATTTTTGAGGTTAGTCATTAATATTTAAAAATTTTAATCTTCAATTATAAAAAAAGTTTAATCTTTTAATTAGGAAATTAACTTTTTAAATTAATTCTTTAAATTATGTTTTAAGTTAGTAAAGGAATAAGTATTAACTAGGATTTTAAAAAGAGTTTTAATTTAAAAATGTAATTACAGTTTACAATTAGCCACTTATTACTTTAACTTAAAAAATAAATAAATAAATAAAGCATAGAAATAGAGAAATAAAAGGGGCACGACCAATGCTGAATATTATTAGGGTTTGTGGTTCCCTCTTTTATCTTTCTCACCAGCGACGACTCCTTTCCTCCATTGCTGCATGTGTTCTTGAAGCTTTTTCATTTCTTTTGCGTTCTGCCTCGTCTGCCTTCCCTTCTTCTCGCGATCCCTATGGAATGAAAAAGGAAGGAAAAAAAGTCGTTAGATTGTTACTCACCTTCCGCGAAGGTTTGAAGCGGCGACGGTTGACGGTTGGAAAATCGCCAATGATGACAACCATCTGAGGCTTGGTAGGTTTCGCTGCTATCTGGGCTTTTGACGGTTCTCAGTCGCGGGTTACAGATGGTGATGTTGGTGATTACGGTTTTCTTTTGCTCTGTACGGTGGTCGTTTTTGATTTGCTCTTCCTCCTTTCTTCTGATTCGAACTAGTGATGTTTTTATTATTTTCTCTGATGATCTTTTGTCTGCCCCTCTTTTCTGATGAACACGCATGCGTTCTTATATTTAATTATATGGGCCTGGGCGATTTTGATTTTTCTGCTGAATTGTTGCTGATAATTTTGCAATTTTCAGGGAAATTTGTTCTGACGGTTTCGGATCCAGAACTTTGTTGCGTTTTGTTTTGGGCTGGAAAATTGTGATTTCTTGATGGATTGTTGTGATTGTGCGTTCTGCACGACTGTTTTGTTCTTGTTGCTGCAAATCTTACGATTTGCTGTTGTGGGTTTATCACACTTTGCAGGAAAGTTTGTTTTGGGAACAGAACTTGCGTTTTCCATGGACCTGTTGGTTGTTGTTTGATCCGTTTGGCATTCAGAATTTTTCGGGAAAGTGTTTGTGCCTTGTTTGGCAAAAATCATTTTTCTGGAAATAAGTGCTTTTTCCAAAATCACTTTTTCTCTCTCCTGGCTTAAATTAGAACAAAAATGTGTCAGATCCGTGCCAGGGTCAGAAAAATAAGTCGGGAGTTGGCGACGACTTTGTCATTGCCCTTCCGACATACTCGATGATGAGCTAACTGAGGATATCGGAATCGAAAAAATCATTTTTCACCAACTCTAACCATTTGAATTATTTTCATATGTTGTTGGTATTTTTGCAGGTCCGAGAAATCGAAGATTGAAGATCGGCGCGACAACAAGTTTAGGAAATTAAGTCTTTTTAGAATTTAGGAATAAAGTTCTAAATTGGAATTTTCTTTTGTAATTGTAATAAACAATAGAATTCAAATAAACTTAATTCTTTATTTTTCCAATCAACTTTCTCCGATTAAATTTCCAAATAATTCACCCGCTTAAGCTTAAACGAATAAATTCACTTAATTAAAATGATCCGACTAAACTACTCCAAATAAACTCAAACAACTAAATTCCTTTGATTAAATTTAATCGATTAGGCTCCTCCAAATAAATTCGTCTGAATAAGTTTGTCCGATTAAATTTGTCTGATTACATCCACACCAATAAATTCATCTGATTCCATTTACCCGACTAAATGCATCCAGTTAAACTCATCCAAATAAATTCATCTGACTAACTTCATCTGATTAAAACTTGTCCGATTAAATTCAAATGACTAACTTCTCCCGATTAGACTCATCCAAATAAATCAATCTGATTAAATTCCTACAATGAGATTTATCCGATTAAACTGTGACGTTCCAACTCCGAACTCGACAATTAATCATTTTGCACGATTTAAATCTGATGTAACTGAGTTCAAACAAATTCTCTTACAAATTAATTTGTACCCGATATTAACGGTGAATGTGGCCTTGAACGGATAAGCAGATAAATTCATCTAAACGGCAGAACGAAATGTCTTCCGTATTGAAAATTCAAATTGCATCTCAAATGATTTAACTCGGTTAAAACGCGCGTCTGTTAAAATAAATTCTGCAACGCAAATTCTCGCACCGATTTAACTCAAATCCACTGATATCACAACACATTTAGCTCCATATGGATTCAGAATCAAACAAACATTTCTGAAATCCCACTGACGACTAAATCTCGGCTCTTGAATAAAATGTGCTTGTCACGAGAAATCTGACGTCACAAACTGCCGTAAAATTCAACCCTTCCTCAACTAGGTCACATGACTCGGAGATGGAAACCCTGATCGCTCGAGGAATCCCTGCGGATGACTCAACTTCATAAATGGTCAGCGGGCTGGAAATTAATGACCATTTTTCCCTTCATAAGCTAAAGAGCGCACAATGTGATTTTTTCTACAAAACCAACAGACTCAGCAAACGGGTTAGCGGTTAGTTTACAATGCAATGCAAAATGAGATAAAATACGAAATGAACCGACTAATCTAAGGGTAAACTTTGGGGTATTACACTAACAATTTATCTTTATGGAGTTTGGAGATGCGCCTCTCATTTATATGGCCTAAGCGACAATGCCAAAGGTAATTTGACTTTAACTCGTTAGGTTTCATTCTTTTAGTATTAATGTTATAAATTGGCATTTCAAGATCATGGACATAAAATCCATTGTTCATTTGTGCAATAGCATAAACTATATCATTCAAATAAGTGGAGTAATAGTTGTTCTTTATTATAAATGTAAAACTAAACTTGTCAAAACAAGAAACGAAAATAATATTCCTGCTAATTGCAGGAACATAATAACAGTTCTCTAACTGAATTATTAAATCACTAGGTAAATTCAATACATAAGTTTCTACAGCTAAAGAAGCAACCTTTGCTCCATTTCCAACTTGTAGGTGAACTTCACCTTTTGCCAAATGTCTACTCCTTTTTAGCCCTTCACTACTAGAAATGTTGTATTTAGCCTCGGCCATTTTCCGTGACTATATGGCAAAAAACCGCCGCTACTAGCCATTTAGCCTCAGATTAGCGTCGGTGTCGGGGATAGGCTAAAACGCTCGAAGCTAACTTTTAGCCTCGGCAAGATGAGCTGTGGATAAATGTAGCCTCGGTTAGGCCGTGTCTAATATAGCCACGGTTTAGCCGTCTCTACTTTAGCCTCGATGAAGCCGTGTCAAAAAAACAAAAATAGCCTGGGCTTGACCGAGGCTAAAGTCAAACTTGCCTCGACTTTTTTGAGGCTAAGTTGTCAACAAAATATTTAGCTTTGGTCTAACCGAGGCTAAAGTCAAATTGTAAAAGTCAACAAAATTATGCCTGCTAACACCCTATCTAGAAGCGAATATTATGATCTTCAGATATCATTGGCATTTTTGACAAATATTAAATTGGAAAACAACTCACCTGTTGACAATCATCTCGTCTCCCTGCCCAGTGGAGAGACAGAGTGAGCCAGCAACCCTAGTAGCCATTTTCTCGAGAGGCAGAGTAACCATAGGAAGACTTGCCCATAGTATATCTGTTCCTGTTGTATGTGCATTGCATAAAGGCCTAAAAGAAATCATATTCAACATATGTAAGTGACACAGCAACAGAAGGTTGAAGAAGCAAAACATGTAGATGAGATAAATTACGTGTCAAGAAATAGGTCTGCTAAAGAACTTCGTCTAATGTGCTCGCTCTTCATCGCGACATCTGTGAAGATAATTTAATTCGGCTGCACCCCTTGTGCAACAACATCTGAAAGAAGTGAAATAATTATAGAGTTAGTTCACAAGAATATTACGAGCAAATACAAATAGAAGAATAAGATGTCCGATGGTTTTGACATGAATATGCCCACAGGAGAATTGATTATAAAAAGCACATTGCAAGCACACACACATATTTATGTGTGGTGTGTAAATATTATGAAAACAAAGTCACATACATGCCCTCAGTCTCATTCTGTCTGCTGCAGGAAATTTCAGGAGCCAAAGCACGTTGTTGGGCACACGTTTAAGTATATTGAGGGAGATGAACAATTTGTTCAGAGTATATATGTGCATACTGAAGAGGTGAAACAAACTGCAAGAGAAGCAGCAATAATTCAGAAAGCATGTAAACAAGTTAATGAGATGGCCAGACAACACCCAATATTGCTCACCTCATCAGTGACCAAGTAATATATGTAAGTAGCTCCAGTTGTGCCAAGAAATCCCATATATGAAACTTGAATTGGCGCAGGTTTCATGGCAAATATCTCATTTCTGGCACCCTGAGAAGAAGGAAAATGGACAATTGCAGCATGCAATCAGAAATAACATAAAAAAAGAAAGAAAACACACCAATATAATTCAAAGCCTTTACCCAATAAGTAGGATCAGCCATATAAACTTCACCAAGCCAAGATCTCAGTTTGGTTTCATATATAAAAAATCAAAGCTTTTACCCACCAAGTAGGATAAATTATATTTATCAAGTGTGTCATAAAATACTAAGTGAACGAATCCTAACCATAAATGTAACATAACCTTCTACAAGTTCAGTTCAGCTATGATAACAGAATAGAAAATTTTCTCATGCTTCTATCTCAGCTTTTCTTTCACTCTCTTGTTTTTTCAGTTTCTCTGTGGTTCTTGGTTTCTATGAATGTAAAGAATTTATCCAACAATAAGTTTCTTAAAACAATCACCTGTGGAAAAATAAGGAAATTTTACAGCAAGATCTGAAGCATTATTTAGTGTCCTTTTAGCACTGAGACCTTCTACTGTAGAAATATCCTCGTCGTCATCAAAATCTTCAATGTCATCCACAGTTAACTCTCTTTCTTGTGCAGAGTTTAAAGACTCTGATCTTGATAGATTAGAAGCAATTGAAGACGGAGGAAAAGCATGAGGCAGAGTGGAAACAGCGATAGGAGGCACTACAGATATAGGAACAGGTGGGGGTGGCCTTTTGGGGGGTGAACCTGAAGACTCCGGATCAGTGACCAAATAAATTTCACCAACTGAACCTGTGTCACTCTGTTAAAATAAATAGCACATGGAGATATAGTTATACAAAAATACAGTTTGTTTCCCTGAACAGAAGCTTTAACTTAAAATAACTGCATTTTGGTCAGACTCGGTACATAAATCTGAGAAGTAAGAGCAATATACGACAAGCATCATTCGCAAACAACTACTCAGTGACAGAAAAATTCATATATGCAGGATAAAGAAAAGGATGAAATGAGAATTATATCAACCAAAAAGAGAACTTACAGGCATTGGAAAAGCCAAAGGTGAAACAAATGAGAAGTTAGTTGGTTCATTAATGTTCCTCAAGAATGGACACCTTAGGATAGAGTCCTCAGTTATATCTTGAGTAAAGAAGTCCATTCCTCTGCTTCAATCTAACAGACCTGCAAAAAAAGGAATCATACTTGCTGAAAATTTCCAAAGCATTGGAATTCTTCAAAACTTCTTCATGTACTGTTTTTCTCTTCACTTCAATATTTTTGCTTTCCTCTTCATTCATTAGGCACGTGTTTTAAAACTATGATCAATCTTGTATGTGCTCAATTACTATGACTTGTGAACATATTGTTTAATGGTGGAATGCAATTAGTCTCAGATATAATGAGAAACATTAATTGAATGCTAGGATTATAATTGTTTGATCATAATAGATAGAATATGAAAAATCCAGTCTTTCTTGGTTGTTATATGGTGTGAGCTTGGAGTGCTTAATTGATTTAAGAGGAAAAAATAGGTATGCAACTACTAAATACATTCCAAAGGGTTTATCAAAAAACATTGCATTAACGTATCAGGGTTTATCACACTCAGCGAAGATATGAATGCCTGCAAAATTAAGCTGCCATAACCCCTGCAATAGTTCATAAAATGGTGTATATAATTTGAAGGATAACATACCTGCTTATCGGAAGCTGTATCACATAGCTGCACTTCAGAGTTGTTTAAACCAACAACAATATGACGCCCATCAGGATCTGGAGCATCCCACTGTTGGCACATTATCCAAGGAACACTTGTATTTTGAGAAACAACCATTTTTGCAGTCCATAAAGCATATTTCTTACCATCCTCTTTATAAAAGTTTTCATAGAAACCACATTCATTCTCTATCTGCAATATCTTGAAGATTCTAGATGAAATCATCAGAAAAAGGAACTAAAAAGAAATTGACAAGAATTGATACTACTACTAACAGGGGAGTATGCATGAGTCACTTGTGGAGAAAGTGAGAAAATGAGGAATGGTACTACTACTAACCTGAACCAAATCCTTTTTTTCTATGATTTCCGCAGACACTTCCACCCTTGGCTAACAGCTCAAATAGTATCTGCAAACACATGAACAAATTGTAAAATACAGAATGCAAAATAAGCCTAGAATAACAAATATCTGACTGCTTTTCCTTCTTTTCCAATCCATGCAGACAAATAAATGAAGCAGACACAACACGTGAGCCTAACTATCGTATGTTGTACCGTGTCAATCAAAACCTTGCCATGAAAGACATTAGTAAGTCTAACAAACAAACAACAAGGTATATATATGAGATGAAACATAAAAGAGATAAAAAGAAAAACATATGTTTAATGAATGTAATATATGCAAAGAAACAATTTTCCTTAAAACTATACTTATGTGATCCATTATACCTCAAAAAATAGTACACGATTCTAACAGGAACAAAGTATTAGCCTAATAAATGGACATTACTAGTCAATATATTTTATAAATTAAGCCTCTTGGTCCATAAACACACAATTAATTTCCACACAGAATATGATTAGACATACAACAGAAGAATGGATTCTAACTTATGGATTTGACACCTGATACAACTATGTTATTAACTCAAGACGATAAGGGAAATGTGATTGGCGAACGGGAGATTGATAGCTGGTTAATACAGAAGAATGATGTGATCAAAGTTGTGCCGGGCGCAAAAGTAGCATCGGATGGTCTTGTTGTATGGGGACAAAGTCATGTGAATAAGAGTATGATAACTGGCGAGGAAAAGCCTGTTGCTAAGATGAAAGGTGAAATGGTGATTGGCGGTACCGTGAATGAGAATGGTGTTTTGCATGTTAAGGTAACAAGAGTTGGATCAGAAAGTGCACTTTCTCAAATTGTTAGACTTGTTGAGTCTGATCAAATGGCTAAAGCTCCTGTTCAGAAATTTGCAGACCAGATCTCCAAATACTTTGTTCCTATATTAAGTCTCAACTACTAACAGAAATTAAAGATCATTGTTGTTCCTTTTTATAAGAGACTAATTGTGTGTTTGAAAACTCGATGAATTGCTAATACCTAAAGTTTAGTTGTCATCTCAGGTGATTTTCTGAAGCTAATAATAATTTATCGAACACATGATTCGTAAGAAACAGAAACGAAAAAGGAAAAGAAACTTGGTTGAGACAATTTACTGAACACTTAGTGTGCAAGTTGCAAAACGGTGGAAACGAAAACAATTTGATATCGATTTGTAAACCACAACCTGCAACAACAACAATAATCAACAACAACAATAATTTAACATCATGAAATGAAATAATTAAAAAAAATAGAGAAACTTATGAGTATCACCTCAAACAAGTATCTTAAACAAAAGAAAAAGCTTTTAGGCCCATGCAACAGAACCAATGTGTAGATTACAAAATGCACCTTAAACAAGGACAAATACTTACTCTAATAGTAATGCTATATATTTCACAATAGATGTAAGTTCAGAATATTTGTGCATCTCAAAATATAAAGAATTCTGTTTATATCTTCATTAAACATTCAAAAATGCAACATGCAAGCATTTGGAAAATTTGTAAACAAAAAGGAATTAGGCAAGTTCACAAGTTTTGGCCATTAAATACCGTAAGCAAGCAAACCAAAAGAAACACGAAAATCAAAGCTAATAAGTTCTGTACCATTGATTCTTCATCACCTTCACCAAAGCGCAAAGCAAGGTCACAAAGAGCTTGAGTTGTGGACTCTACAGTCATCGGTTCACCGTAAGAGAACCTATGATTCTGTGAACAACAAACCAAAACATATCAATCACAAACCAATCAACTACCTACAACATCCTACAAAGGTAACAAACAGTACCTGAGTTTCAACTCGAGCATGCTCAACCAGTGTACGAGCATCAACAATCAATCCACTCATCGCACAACCAATATGGTCATCAATTTCCATAATTTTTTCGACGTTGCTAGGCTCCTGAAAGCAGAATTCACACTAAATTAATCTACCGAAAATCCCCAAAATCATTGTATCTATAATAAACGTCAATAATCAAAATTCACAACTGCGTCTACAAAGTCTACAAAATCTATAAAAACAACCAGATGTCCACAGAATTTAATATGTTGTAAAGCACATCTGTGTCCACAAAATTCACATATGTGTCCACAGAAAGTTCAGCTGGAATGAAATCACTTACTACAACTATTTCTGCAGCACCGAAAAGTTGACTACAGCTATTTCTGCAGCACCGAAAAGTTATAAGTGTTGTGAACTTTGAATTAGCTAGCACCTAACAAGAGTTTTTTACAGACTAACATTTTCCCCTTCACAATAGAATGTCAATTACCATACTAACAGAACTGAGTTCAACCACATTTAACAAAACAGTGCATATAAAATCTTAAATAAAAATTAGAATGCAAAACCTAAACCCTAAACCTAACAACAA